GGGATGGCTAAAGCCATGTACCCACGTGATTTTGACGTTTTATTAAAATTAAGGTTAGGATTGGGGTTAGGTTGGTATTAGTATAAAAAATGGTATAGGTAAAATTGCCTTCCCGACATTTTTAATTAGTGCCTCAAGACAGGTTTAGAATGCTGTTTTTCGTCTTTTTGCATTTTCTTTATTTTTTGCCAACTTCGGACGATTCGCCTGCATCTCAAGTATTTACCACCTTACTGTTATTCGTCACATAGTTTGGGTAATATAATCTCTAAAATTTATACGTATCTTATACCAAGCTTCCTTTTTGAGCTTGTATTACCAGCGCAAAATAAACAAACCACAATCGTACCCCACTATGGTAAAATAGTTGAATTGGTGAAATTGATTTCACCAGCATCTCTCTAATTTCAGAAAAAGGTCGTACTAAATATAAATCTCCTATCAATATTGCATAACGGAAATTTCGTTCATAAACATCAAAAAAGCAAGAAATATATAGGACAACCTTACGATCATTTGTACTTTTTTTAAACTAATATTAATACTAAATTTTTTGTGTACATTATCCCATATATTCATGTTTTATTCTTTGTTAATTCTATACTTATAAACTTTTATGTCATTATAATAAACATGAAAGGTTGTTTTATTTTACCATTTTATAAGTTCGCCGTGCTTTTTTTATATGTCTTTTTCATATTTATATTAAAAAAAAAGGTAATGAGTCAGGACTCATGCCACCTATCACCGACTAAACCAAATAAACTTATTGGATATTATCCTGCTTATAAACTTGATAATATAAACCTGGGAAAAGATTTTAATATCAGCTCATCAATTGATTACTTAAACTACGTTGGTATGCAACATTAAAGCCTTAAGTCTATTTAATTACAAATAAGTTTAATGTTATTTAATATATATATAGCATTTGGTCCAAATGACCTTGTTAATAATGGCAAAAATAATAATAGTGGTGGTGACCCTTTGCTATTTTATAACAATCAATCTTCCAAATTTAATGATCTGTTAAATTATAAGACAAAAAATAATCTACAATTTAAGGTAGGTAATA